TTCTATATCTTAAGAGTGGTTATCTTAAGTGTGAGTTTTAGGTTCTAGATATTTGATTAAGTGTGTCATATCTTAATTAAATTCTAGATTCAAACCCTAAGTTAGAATAACAGTGTGTAATATCTCTTAAATACCAACTTGGTTTATCCATCCCTGATTTTCTTCCATTTCATACCTCCCCATATTCTCTTCCTAAACCTCTTATTTTTCTTCATAAAAAAACACCAAAAAGAACTCCAAAAACACCTCCCATATTTCGCCCCATATACTTCTGTGTCATTTCCTCCACAAATTCACACAAAATTAGCAACTTGATAAGACCCCCGTTTCACCCCTAACATTTGGTATCAAAGCTCAGCTTCGAGGCTTTCTTAAGTCTCGACGATAACCTTGAGGACCGGCTTCGCAAACGCTGCCCAAAAGAACGTTGCTGAAATTTCTTCCCCAGAAACTTTCAGTTCCATGGCATTGAGCACGGAGGATGCTACACGACGTTTTTCAAGGTGAAACTCTCCAGTTCAGTAGTTTAACCTTTTATCTACGTCTGGCCGCTGATTTCACTCAATTCCGAGTTACGGTTTGAGAGATACACCCTCCCGAAGTTGATAACACAGTCCTGGCCGGATTCTATTTACCTTGCTGAGTTTGTCTCCAAAGAGGTAGAAAACATTTTCTCAATGGCTCTGAATTTTTGATATGTCTTTAAAGACTTCAATATCTAACTCCGAGAGTTGGAATTACATCTTTCCAATACCTGGTTGTTGAGATATGGATGTCCAAAGATACCTCAAAAATCTGGAGATCATCTACACCAATGAGGCTATCTTGCAAGGGCCAACTCAACGGTGCTACAAGTGTTGTGGCTATGCTCATATCTACTGGATATGCCCAAATGAACATACCGTACCGTATGAAGAATGGGCCAAGATTAATGAAGAAGTTTCACGTGCAGAAGTTTTGATTGAAGAAACAATTTGTGAAGAGGAAAAGAAAAGCTTCAACGACCAGCTTGTCATTGTTGAATACGTCTCTGATTTTCAAGTCAACGATGAAAATGACGTCTTCGTTGAAGAACCAGATTCCGAGGTTGTGGTGGAGGAAACTACACCAGATGTTATATATTCTAAGGAATTAAATTGCACAGAGTATTATCGTCCAATTAGTGAAGAAGAATCTTATTTCATCTTTGAAGGATGTGTGAAGCAGGATCTAACCAAGGTGGCCATCATATTCCGGAAATTACACTACGACGTGCCAACTAAGTCCGGAGTGAACTTCAATATTGGTGGTTCATTAAGTTTCCAATTTGATCCGGGAATACTTTTATGAAACCATCAATCTCCCACGGTGGTGCGAAAGTTTGAGGACAAACTTTTTTGAAGAAGGGGAGTATGTTATACCCCTGGATGGCTCCACCAAAATCCCAACCCCTCCCAAATATCCAAAAGTATTTTATTTCCTTTTGATATCCAAAATAAAGTTCTTCCTACTCTTATTTTAGCCCAGGGCCGAAAATAAGAGTGTGTAAAATAAAACCTTTTGTTTGTTGTTATTTTCCTTCTTTTAAGCCTTTTATTCAGCAAATAAAACCCTCCCTCTATTCCATTTACCCCTGGCCAAAATACACTTCACAATCCCAACATAAACACCCACAAAGAGCCAAAACCCTGACCCACCACTAGCCACTCATTTCATGCCCATATTCCCTTACAAAAAAACCAATCCTATAAGTCCAAAAACCACACATTATATCCCCCATCCCTGCCCCCTTTTATTAACCAAAACAGCCCCACCTTAGCCAATCAATTGTGAATTATATTCACATATTCCCTCCCACCACTAATGGCCAAAATTCCTGCCCTACAAGTACAACCTATCCCTGATTTTTCTCCCCACCAAAGGGACAACAACAAGGGGAGGTCATGCTATTGATTTAGGAGAATAAGATAGGAAGTTTCCTTATGTTTACATTCAATATATTGTGTATTTTTTCCCCTTCCCCTACCTATATATAAATCAGGCCCTATGGCCAAATGTAACACACCTTGAATAATAAAAACTCCCTTTTACTCTTTGAGTATTTATAAAATAGTGTGATGCTATTTTAGCCAAATTCCTAATTCTATATCTTAAGAGTGGTTATCTTAAGTGTGAGTTTTAGGTTCTAGATATTTGATTAAGTGTTTCATATCTTAATTAAATTCTAGATTCAAACCCCAACTTAGAATAACAGTGTGTAATATCTCTTAAATACCAACTTGGTTTATCCATCCCTGATTTTCTTCCATTTCATACCTCCCCATATTCTCTTCCTAAACCTCTTCTTTTTCTTCATAAAAAAACACCAAAAAGAACTCCAAAAACACCTCCCATATTTCGCCCCATATACTTCTGATATACCCCCGACCACCAACAACGATCCTCGAGTCATTAAACAAATCTGTGGAATAATGTCCAAGTGTTTTAATCCTTTTTGGAATGAATACATCACCCATAAACCATACAACCCGACCCTGGTCCTATAGGACCTTCCCCCACCTTGATGGCCAAAAAGTACCACCCAAAACCACCCCTCCCAAATATCCAAATCAAACCCAAGTCCCTTCCTTTTTTTTACCCTGGCCGAACCCACACACCCCCACAACACCTCATCACACTTCAAACCACATGCTAAATCCACAAACCCTTTTCTTTTCNCCCAACTCATAAGAAGCCAAACAACCTGCCATATCCCTCCTTCCTTGTTTCCCCACCTGGGCCGTGCATAACCCACCAAAACCCACCATAAAAGAATCTCCATTTCCAACCAAATAAGTGAGTCTCATTTTCCACCCCTCACTCCCCACACCAGGCCGAAACACCCTCCCCCACAACCTCACCCCTCTTCCTTGTTTTCATTCCATTAAAATAAGTGGACATTATTCCCCAAATAAGTGAATGTACTAGGAAGCTTTCCTCTCCCCCTGGTGTGCTTATATATATCTCGGCCATAGGCCATTGTAAACACATTGCATTCCAATTTTAATCAAAGTGATTCACTTGTGTGTTTCATTCCAAATTCCAAATCCTATATCTTAAGAGTGGTTCTCTTGAGTGTGAGTTTTAGGTTCTAGTTATTTAAGTAAGTGTGTAATATCTTATTTAAATGCTAGATTCAACCCCAAGTTAAGATAAGGGTGTGTAATATCCCTTAACACCAATTTGGTTTATTTTCCCTTCCCAAAGAAATACCTTGTTCCTGTCTCGAGCTGTCAAATAATCGATTACCTCTACTGGAAATCGATTATCTATCCTTCGTGAAACACCTGCAGCCTTCAATAGTCGATTATCACTCTCATATAATCGATTATCAGCCTTTCCCAGAAAACCTGTCATCCTCAATAATCGATTGACACCTCCTATAAATCGATTATCTCCCCTCCCAGAAAATCCCCAGAAAATTGCCCCAGAAACTGAAGCCCCTGATAATCGATTATCCACTTTGAACAATCGATTATTTCTTCCCTGTTCTTAACAAGATAGTTCCTTTAAAACAAACCTGAGCTTGGGTATAACATTTGGTATCATAGCTAAGTGTTGAACATCCCCAAGGGCCACCCACCATCACTCCCTTCCCTCTTCCCTAACAACCCCCACAGCCCAACTAAACAACCTTCCTCACCTTTTTCCCCTTCAACCATGTCAAATGAATCTCGAACTATGTCCCATGAAGAGCTCATTGCCTCAAATACAGCCTTGAAAGCACAATTAGAGTACTTGGCTAAAGAGGTAGCCAAGCTTACAAAGATGAAACTCAACGAGCTCCAAGGAAGTGACCGTGAAGAAGACGTTAGCTCTTGTGGAACCATGAAACCTAAAGCCAATGAAGGTTCTGACTTCAAAGTTGACATTCCAACTTTTGAAGGGAAGAACGACCCGGATGAGTTCCTCGAGTGGCTAGAAACAGTGGAACGCGTCTTTGACTTCAAAGATGTTTCCAACGAAAAGAAGGTCAAGATAGTGGCCTTAAAGTTCCGGAAGTATGCATCAACTTGGTGGACTAATACGTGCACCAAGAGAAGAAGAAATGACAAGGAACCGGTGTCCACGTGGGTAAAGATGAGGTCCCTTCTAAAAAAGAAGTTTTTACCCGCCGAATATGTTCGTGAGAATTTTGCTAAGCTTCAAACGCTTAGACAAGGTTCTAAGTCCGTTGAGGAATACAACCGGGAGTTTGAAGAGCTCTTGCTGAGATGTGACTTGCAAGAAGATGATGAACAAACCTTTGTTCGTTACCTATTCGGCTTAAACCTGCAAATAGCCAACACGGTGGAGTTGCAAAGTTACGACTCTCTTGAAGAACTCATGAAGTTGGCCCTCAAAGTTGAAGCTCAACATAAGAAATCCAAAGCCTTTTTCTCCAAAAATAACACCCCTTCCCCACGCCCCTACTCCTCCACATCCAAACCACCTTACCCTTCATCAAAATTACCTTACACTACCCCCAAAAATCCCACTACTGCCCACGGCACAAACCCCTCCTCCTCCTCCCAATCTACCTCAAGAAACCCCTCCTCCTCTTTCACACCCCGGGATGATCCCACCAAGAAAGCACCTGTTTGCTTTCGGTGCCAAGGACGAGGTCATTTTGCCAATGAATGTCCTAATAAGAAGGTGATGGCCATTGTCGAATGTGATGAAGAAGTCTTTGACCCAACTTGGGTTGAAGAAGAAGCGGAAGAAGTGGAAGAACAAGATGAGTACGTAGGTCCCGATGATGGCAAACTCTTGGTCATCCGAAGAACATTGAGCACTCTATCATACCCCGAAGAAACGAAGGAAATTCAACGTCAAGTTGATGAGTTGTTAGCCAAGGGCTTCGTAAGAGAAAGTCTTAGCCCGTTTGCTGTCTCGGCACTTTTGGTACCCAAGAAAAATGGAACGTGGCGTATGTGTTGCGATAGTCGGTCTCTCAACAAGATCACTATCAAGTATCGGTACCCGATTCCCCGTTTGGAAGACATGTTGGATGAATTGCATGGCTCTAAGTTCTTTTCAAAAATTGATCTTAGGAGTGGATATCATCAAATTCGAATCTTTGACGGAGACGAGTGGAAGACAGCGTTCAAGACGAAGTTTGGGTTATACGAATGGTTGGTTATGCCATTTGGATTAACCAATGCCCCGAGCACGTTCATGCGGCTTATGAATCAGGTCTTGAAGCCGTTTATAGGTCATTTTGTCGTTGTCTACTTTGATGACATTCTGATTTATAGCAAAAATGAGGAAGATCATGCTAATCACCTTACTTTGGTGATTAAGAAGTTAGACGAGGAGAAGCTGTACGGGAATCTTGAGAAGAGCCAATTCTTTTCCCAGGAAACAGAGTTCTTGGGATACTTTATCTCGAGTGAAGGAATCAAAGTTGATGAAAAAAAGACTCAGGCCATAAGGGACTGGCCCGCTCCCACGTCAATGCAGCAAGTTAGAAGTTTTCATGGACTTGCATCTTTCTACCGGAGATTCGTGAAGGATTTTAGCACCATCACGGCACCTATCACGGATTTGACAAAAAATCAGAAGTTCGAGTGGAATTCTAAGGCCCAACAGGCCTTTGAGACCATCAAGGAGCGATTAACACATGCCCCCGTGTTAGCCCTTCCTAGTTTTGACAAACTATTCGAGGTCGAGTGTGATGCCTCGGGAGTTGGAATCGGGGCTGTCCTTTCCCAAGAAGGGCACCCGGTGTCGTACTTTAGCGAGAAGCTAAACGACACAAGAAGAAGGTATTCCACATACGACAAGGAGTTCTACGCATTGGTACGATCACTTGAGCATTGGCGCCATTATCTCGTGAGCAAGGAATTCATCTTACATTCCGACCATGAGGCGCTAAAATACATCCAAGGGCAACATAAACTCCGACCTCGGCATGCTAAATGGGTCGAGTATATCCAAACCTTCACCTTCACCATCAAACACAAGAACGGAACAATGAACAAGGGCGCCGATGCCTTGTCCCGGAGGCATTTATTACTAACGGTACTTAGTACCAAACTTGTTGGTTTTGAGTTTTTGCAGGAGCTGTACAAGGAAGATGAAGACTTCAAGGACACTTATTCTAAGTGCCTCATTCGGCCCTATGGAGATTTTCTTGTCAAAGACGGTTATCTCTTCCGTGGTAACCAACTGTGCGTCCCGCAATGCAGTATGCGCGAAACCCTCATTGAAGAAGTCCACGGAGGAGGCCTAGCTGGTCATTATGGATTCGACAAGACTCACATGATGATGAAGGAGCATTACCACTGGCCAAAGATGGAATGAGACGTCGAGCATTTTATCAAGCGTTGCAACACATGCCACCTAGCAAAGAGTCACTCACTACCCCAAGGAAAGCACATGCCACTGCCCGTTCCTTGTGCACCATGGGAAGATATTAGCTTGGATTTCATCACCGAGTTACCAAGGACGCAGCGGGGCAAAGATTCGATCATGGTTGTCGTGGACCGTTTCTCAAAGATGGCCCATTTCGTACCATGTGTTACCACTTATGATGCTTCACAAGTTGCGGATATCTACTTTCGAGAGATAGTCAAACTCCATGGCGTTCCTCGAAGCATGGTATCGGACAGAGACACCAAATTCATTAGTCATTTTTGGATGACTCTTTGGAGAAAATTGGATACTAAACTGAAGTTTAGTACGTCAAGCCACCCACAAACTGATGGCCAAACCGAGGTCACCAACCGCACCCTTGGAACACTCTTACGAGCCCTCATCAAGAAGAACATCAAGCAATGGGAGGAGCTTCTTCCGCACGCCGAGTTTGCCTACAACCGAACCCCAAACAAGACTACCGGACTATCCCCATTCACGGTGGTCTATGGTTCGAACCCCTTGACCCCACTTGAACTTAATCCGATCATCACGGAAACCAAATACAGTTGGGAAGCAGACAAGCGGTCAAAGGAAATCCAAAACCTTCACGCCAGGGTTCGAGAGAAGATTGAGGCTATGAACGAGAAGGTAAGCGCACGCATCAACAGAGGAAGGAAGAACGTCCACTTCCAGCCAGGAGACCTTGTTTGGATTCACCTTCGGAAAGAGCGTTTCCCCACGAAACGCAAGTCAAAGTTGCTGCCAAGAGCCGATGGCCCGTTTGAAATCATAGAGAAAATCAACGACAATGCCTACAAGATTAACCTTCCGGGAGATTATAAAGTATCGGCTACTTTCAATATCAAGGACATCAGCCCGTACTTCGAGCCTGAGGAACTGCCGAGTTTGAGGACAAACTCTTCTGAAGAAGGGGAGGATGATATACCCCCGACCACCAACAACGATCCTCGAGTCCTTAAACAAATCTGTGGAATAATGTACAAGTGTTTTAATCCTTTTTGGAATGAATACATCACCCATAAACCATACCACCCGACCCTGGTCCTATAGGACCTTCCCCCACCTTGATGGCCAAAAAGTACCACCCAAAACCACCCCTCCCAAATATCCAAATCAAACCCAAGTCCCTTCCTTTTTTTTACCCTGGCCGAACCCACACACCCCCACAACACCTCATCACACTTCAAACCACATGCTAAATCCACAAACCCTTTTCTTTTCTCTGGAATGGCCGAAAACTAGGAGCCAAAACCCAACCCATTATTTCTCCAATAAGTACTAGCAGTGGTCCCCTTGTGTTTCCCCAACCAAGCTGAATAAACAACCATAACAGGCCAAGAACAATTCAGCANCTCCTTCCTTGTTTCCCCACCTGGGCCGTGCATAACCCACCAAAACCCACCATAAAAGAATCTCCATTTCCAACCAAATAAGTGAGTCTCATTTTCCACCCCTCACTCCCCACACCAGGCCAAAACACCCTCCCCCACAACCTCACCCCTCTTCCTTGTTTTCATTCCATTAAAATAAGTGGACATTATTCCCCAAATAAGTGAATGTACTAGGAAGCTTCCCTCTCCCCCTGGTGTGCTTATATATATCTCGGCCATAGGCCATTGTAAACACATTGCATTCCAATTTTAATCAAAGTGATTCACTTGTGTGTTTCATTCCAAATTCCTAATCCTATATCTTAAGAGTGGTTCTCTTGAGTGTGAGTTTTAGGTTCTAGTTATTTAAGTAAGTGTGTAATATCTTATTTAAATGCTAGATTCAACCCCAAGTTAAGATAAGGGTGTGTAATATCGCTTAACACCAATTTGGTTTATTTTCCCTTCCCAAAGAAATACCTTGTTCCTGTCTCGAGCTGTCAAATAATCGATTATCCCTACTGGAAATCGATTATCTATCCTTCGTGAAACACCTGCAGCCTTCAATATTCGATTATCACTCTCATATAATCGATTATCAGCCTTTCGCAGAAAACCTGCCATCCTTAATAATCGATTGACACCTCCTATAAATTGATTATCTCCCCTCCCAGAAAATCCCCAGAAAATTGCCCCAGAAACTGAAGCCCCTGATAATCGATTATCCACTTTGAACAATCGATTATTTCTTCCCTGTTCTTAACAAGATAGTTCCTTTAAAAAAAACCTGAGGTTGGGTATAAGAACTTCTGTGTTCATTTCCTCCACAAATTCACACAAAATTAGCAACTTGATAAGACCCCCGTTTCACCCCTAACAGTTGGACAGGGTGCTTCATAATCAATCAGCTATTGAGGCCTTCAATGAAATCAATCTCACCCACCTTAGCAAGACAACCTCAGATCATAAGCCTTTGCTAATTCAATGCAAAGAAGAAGGGTTTAAGGGCCCCAAACCTTTCAGGTTTCTTAATGTTTGGACTACACACCATAGTTTTTTAGAAGTGGTCAGTGATTACTGGGCACATAGCCCTAGAACAGGAGGAATGACTGGCTTTGCTAGTAAACTTAAGGGTTTGAAACCTGTTCTGGCCCACTGGAGCAAGAATCATTTTGGCAACATTTTTAAGGAGGTTAAGGATAATGAAATTAAAGCAGCCAGAGCCCAAGAGGATTTTGAAAATGACCCAACAGAGAAAAAGAGAGCTGAGGCTAATCTAGCCTCAGCTAATCTGATCCTTAGCCTTAACAAAGAAGTAGACTTCTGGAAACAAAAGGCTAACATCAAGTGGATGTCAGAAGGAAATTGCAATTCCAAATTTTTTCATTCATTTGTCAAAAGCAAAAGAAGAAAACTTGCAATCAAAACAATCCATGATGATCTAGGCAACATTTTGACAACCCAAGAGGATATTTGCAGAGAGGCTATTCACTATTTTTCTAATTGCTACACCACAGTCACTCAGTCAGATGAAACCATTATTTCTCAATTCATTGATCAAGTCATTTATGACAGAGACAATCAACTCATCTGCTCTCTTCCATCTGAAGCTGAAATTTATAAAGCTATTTTGAATCTTAATCCTGATAGTGCAGCTAGCCCGGATGGTTTCAATGGATATTTCTTTAGAATTTGCTGGAACATTATCAAGGTGGATGTCATTCTTGCCTGTCAGGAATTCTTCTTGGGATTTCCAGTCCCCAGATCATTTGGTAGCACATTTATTACCCTCATTGCCAAGATTGAAGATCCGAAAGGGTTTGGAGACTACAAACCCATATCCCTCTCTTCCTTCATGAGCAAATCTAATACAAAGATCCTAGCTACCAGATTGGCCACACTGCTTCCCAAATTTATCTCAGAAGAGCAGACAGGATTTCAAAAGAACAAGGGTGTTGAGGAACAGATTCTATTGGCTGAAGAAATGGTGCACATGCTAGATAAAGAGGTCAGAGGGGACAATTGCATTGTCAAGTTGGATATGGCAAAAGCCTTTGATAGGGTGGAGTGGAGCTATCTTATTAAAATTTTGGACAAACTTGGGTTCAACTTACACTCACAAAAGCTGTTAATGGCCAATCTAGTAGGTTTACATCTCTCTATTCTTATAAATGGCTCACCTGCTGGTTTCTTTCAAATGAAGAGAGGGGTGAAACAAGGTGATCCTCTCTCACCTCTTCTCTTTTTGATTAGCAGTGAGGGCTTCACAAGAATGATCAACCTACACATGAACTCCACCTATCTGGGCAGCTACAACACAGGCAATCACCCATTGATAAGCCACTTGGCTTTTGCAGATGACCTAGTGGTTTTCCTCAATGGGGACACTAGGAACTTGAAAAAATTTAGAAGGATTTTAGAGGTCTATCAGAAAGGGTCTGGGCAACAAGTGAACCTTAACAAGAGCAGCTTTTATACTGGGAAGAAGGTCAACCAAACTAAAATTGCTTCAATGTTCAGAAGTCTATGTATGGATCATGGGACACTCCCCTTATTTAGGTGCAACTATGGTTAAAGGCAAGTTAAGAAAACAGCATTGTTCTAAGCTCCCGAATCACTTTGACAGATATCTTAACTCTTGGTTTAGCACCACTCTCAATCCCATGGGGAGACTTGTGTTTATCAAACATGCACTCTCACCCATACCTTTACATATCACAGCTGTCCACACCATCCCCCAATTAATTATACAGATTCTCCACAGAAAGATGGCAAATTTCCTATGGGGATTCAAGAATGGTAAACCTAAATACCACTGGAGCAAGTGGAACAACCTGTGTGTACTAATGATAAGTCCGTTTCGTTCTTATCATTTACCTCATATTCTAAACGTTATTGCATGCAAATAGTATTTAATCATCTCATAAGATATGATTTTAATGAATAAAACTCTCATTTTCATTCTAAGAGTCATAAAATGGGATTCCACATGAAATCATCATAAATCATCCATTTTTGTTCAAGTATTTGAGAAAAAGGGAATAAATCATCAAAGGATCAAGATTCGGGCTTGAACGAGCTTCCGGGAGGTCAAAAACAGTGTTCGGGGCCAAAACGGAGCGAAATTGGGCCAAAATCACGAAACAGCCGCGAAGCCCAACGGACCAAGGCCTCAAGGCGTCCAACTTGGACACTTGGCCGAGTTGGACGCTTTGGCTTAATTGCAGCCCAAGAATGACACGTGGCAAAATCTGGTTGGCCGGGACTGCTCAGGCGTCCAGATCTGGGCGCTTGGACTTGGACGCTTTGACTTGGACGCCTTGGATTCGTTCCTATAAATACAGCACGATTCTTCTCATTTTTATCATCCAATCTCACAACCCATTTCGGGTTTCCCCTTCAAATTGCTCAATATTTCATTGTAGATTAGTTTAGTTATTATTTTTAAGTATTTTCTGGAGGATTTGACTCCCGATCTGTTCTGTTCCGCTTTTACGGAAGTTGTAAGTTTACTCTATTTAATAAAATGTTGTTTTAATTTANNNNCGCTTGGACTTGGACGCTTTGACTTGGACGCCTTGGATTCGTTCCTATAAATACAGCACGATTCTTCTCATTTTTATCATCCAATCTCACAACCCATTTCGGGTTTCCCCTTCAAATTGCTCAATATTTCATTGTAGATTAGTTTAGTTATTATTTTTAAGTATTTTCTGGAGGATTTGACTCCCGATCTGTTCTGTTCCGCTTTTACGGAAGTTGTAAGTTTACTCTATTTAATAAAATGTTGTTTTAATTTATGTTTGCATAGTATGAGTTAGTGTCCGGATCTCTGGGTCCGGACTAGTTTGGTAGTTTATTTTTGATGTTAAATTAATGTTGGAATGGTTAATCTATTGTTCTTGCCTTATTTAGTTAACTAATGTCGGAAGATTTAATTAGCTATTTATTGAGAAAATATTGTATGCCAAAAGGCTACGATATTCAAGAACAACGGATTAAGTACAAATCTAGAAATAGATGAGTAGTAATAGAAATATTATTATTCCATATGTTAATTTAATATGATAAAATAAATCCAAATGATGTCCAGACCCTAGGTCCAGATCTATACTTATACTATGTAAACTTAATTACTCTGCTCCCTTTTTATTCGTTCCGAGAAGACTTTCATAAACCAATCCTAACCTTCGTCTAGTTAGAGTAATTAAATTAATTCCCTTCGTCCACTCCTCGAGAGATACGACACTCAGAGAGAAAACTAACCCTTTACTGGGAAGGTTTACTACCCGAAAAACTACAACTGTCAAATGGCGCCGTTGCCGGGGAGTGGCACGGCTTTAGTTTAATTTCTTCTGATTAGCTTGGGTGAAGATTGGTTAGAACGATTTTCTCACTTCTTTTTTTCACCAACCACCCGTAATAATTATTATGGACAACTCCAGTGGTTATTACAGCCCGCCTTCTTACTACCAATCACCCAACCGCCCTCCGTACCAAACCTATCACCCACATCAAAACTCATATGATGACGACTGCCAAGTCAACAATGGGTCTGACTACTATCCCTTCCATGAGGAACCCCCATATGATACCCCATCTAGGAGCTTTGGATATTCTCCGTACCAAGATTCTGATGGGGATAATTATTATGAACCTCATGGTGACCAATATGACTATGACCAATTTGGGCCTATGTGCGACGATCAACCTGATCCACTCGTCGAAGAAATCCTAAGATTAGAACAGAAAATCTTCTATTTCGACGAACTTTTATTCGCTGAAGGCTCTTGGTATGAACCACCCTACTCCCGTGACTACACTTTGTTTGCTGAAGAACAAATTGAAGCAAACAAGGTGGCAATTCGAGAAAGAGCAAAACTTCTTGAATTAGTCCGGAAGGAAAAGGAGTTCGAAAGGAGATTACACGAAGGATCAGAATTGATGCAGAAAATGCTGGATGACTTTTAAAGAGAGAGACTAGAAGCTGAGGATAAAGCTGATAAAATAGTCAATGATCTCCGCAAGGCTATTGAGCTTAAACGCTCCCTCCAACCTCAAGATCCACAATTGGAGGAAGTTAATGCTCAAAAAGAGGCTCTAGAACCTAAGACCAACCCTGAACCATCCAACCATCAGGTGCCAGTTCTAGAAGATTCACCAAGTTCTACACTTTCACATAAACCCGAGAGCATAACAACTCTTGCTGGGGCTACTGTGGTGATGTTACCCGAATACCCTCCAAGCCAAGTCTCAACCGGCACAGTCGTACATGAGGTGGAACCAACTGAGGAACTTGACTCAGAACCACCTATGCTTATTCAAGAACAGAAGGAGGAGGAAGTTTTGCCTATGGCAATAAACGACCATATCCTTAATTGTGTTGAAGACACACCTCCAGAGGAACCTGTTCTGGAGAAGATAGAGCCCACTACCTACCCCCAAGATTCCAACGTTCAAGAGTATAAGGAGGAATCTATAGACGAAGAAATACCTAGCACAGAGGAACCAATAACGTCTATAGATAATCATGCCTCATCAGAAGACTTAGACCAAACTTTCTTTGTCTCCCTACTTGACGGGTGTGACTTTGTATGCCCGAAGGATAGTTGGAGCCAAAAGAGTTGGGATGAACTTCTGGTAAGTGACACTGAAGACTCATCCATGGGGGAAAGCATAGTCGTAATCATCAAACCACAAATGGATGGTCAGCCTGTTGAAGATAAGGAAAAAATCAATCTCGCTATGAAGGCCAATGATGTGGATCAATTGAGGAGACTTCCGCCACCACCCACCTATCTAGAGTCTCCTCCTTTTATCCTGTTGCCGCCAAGCCGCAGGGATGAGTCAAGGATCCTGGACCATGACCGAGCAACAAATCAAACAAGGTGGCACCAGAAGAGAGTCAGAAGGGCCAAACTTTATGACTCTCGGATCGGGAAGTCGCGGAAAAAGTGGGTGAGCGTCGAGCTACGGACGTTAAAGAAGCACTTAACGGGAGGCAACCCGTCATTCAAATAACTAAAATATTTAAATAAATTCAATAATTTTATTTGTTATTTTTGAGTTTCTACTTGCCGCACCAGTTTTGGGGGCAAGAGTTATTTTGTTTGTTGACTTTACTTTTGCAGATGAGAGAATTGTAGGGCATACCTTACAGTGGGAGCGAAGAAGATGTCTCACCTGGGGAAAGCACAAGGTTTCGGCAACCTTCGAGGCTTCTTGATCCAACAGTCCTGGTTGAAGTTGGCTACTGAGAGATTATTGACTTTATCAGTAAAGTCTCTTTTTCTCTACTATTTTGAACATGATTTGGATGCTTGATGATTTTTATTTTGGAATTTCACAACATGACTCTTAAAACCATTTTGAGAATATTTTATGCATTGTTTCATATTTTCGTGTTATGGTTATCTATTATTTCAATCTTCATCGTTGAATCTTGTAAGTATTGAGATAACTTAGTAATTGCATGTGAGCATTTCAACCATTAACTCCAATTCCAAAATACTTTTAGCCACGAGGGCGTGGTTCCGTTTAAGTGTGAGGAGGTAAGAGTTCCTGGTTGAAATGATCTTTTTAGGAATTGTTTTGTCTATATATTTGTAGGAAAAGATTTTTATAAAATAGTCATCAATTTTAATTGTTTGATTAATTAATCTTTAGTTATCACTCGTAAAAATTGGAAATTTTTAAAATTTTTATCAAACTTCTATTTTTACTCTAATCTTTTGGGAAAGTTTTCTAAAATAATTTGGGATAAATTCACAATTTACTAAGAGTTTTTAAGATCAATCAATTTTTAAGTGCTTTATTGAAAATCTTTTTGCTGATGCTTTTGTTGAGTATTTGTTGTTTCTTAAAAGAAGTTATTTTTCAAAGTATAAGGGGTGACGTTTCAAAGCATACTTTGGTGAGACCGAGATTCTTGTTTTAGCCAAAAAGCAATTGGTTCTATGTCAATTGATGAGGCGTGGTGAGTATGCCGAAAAGCACGTGGTTCTATATTGCGTGATGAGGCCTTTTGAGTGTTAGAGTCAAAAAGCATGCGGTTCTATGTCGTGTGATGAGACTTTCCAGAGTGAATATCCAAAAAAGCTCGTGGTTCTATATCACGGGATGAGGTTAAAAAATTTTCTCGTGTCAACATGACAAAGTTATGCCAAAGAAACCTAAACCCGTACACTTTGACAATTACTTTTGCAAGAACATGTTTTCCAATTTAGCAATTAAAAAATTATTTGATCTTTAAAGTACTCTTACAAATGTAGTTATCCCAAAGAAAGTTTGGAAAATTTTGGTTGTTTAGGTTGGTGTAAAAATATTGGTTTGACAAAATTCTTTTACATTTCTAACAATATGGGTGAGAATCTAAAGGTTCATTTTGTTGGAAAACATTTTCACTTTGACATTTAGCTAATGACAATGTTTGTTTCCGTTTAGGTTTTGATATTGACAAACCGTCGGGAACATGGAACAAAATGAAAAGATTCAAAGAGATAGAAAAAGTTCCTTGAGGAAACAAAAAGCACAAGAAAGGCATTGACGTTGCTAAAGATGGCGACATTGGCGCTTTGAAGACGTATTCTAAAGACTTAGGTTTTATTGTAACAAGCTCATTCAATTTCTCTACGTCATGGCTCAAAACAAAATATGTTTTTCATGAATCAAATGAGTGTTTTCATAAATGGTTTTTAAGTTTCTAATACCTATGGTTCTTGCTTAACCAAAACCATAACCATCGGTTATCGGCGTTCGGTTTTCGGCATTGGTTATTGGCATTGATTTTAACCAAATGGTTTTTGGGTTTTTATCCTTGGTTTAAGCTTCTGGACACATTAAAAGGTTTTCCAAATCATTTGTTTTCAAAAACCATAACCTTTGTTTTTTCGGCGTTGGTTATCGGCATTCGGCGCTGGTTATCGGCGTTGGTTTTTGGTGTCCGAACCAACCAAGTGGTTTTTAATATTTTATGATTGGTTTTTACTTCTGGACACATCCAAATGGTTCTCCAACAAAAACATGTTAAAAACCACCTTTTGTTTTTGGTCTTTTGGTGAAAACCATGTGAAACAGCATAAACTTGGTTAGCCGTGGTTTTTACCTTAATGAAGTGGTTTTTAAGTTTTTATACTTGGTTTCTACCTAAAATACATTATATAAGAGTTTCCAACACTTGGTTTTCATTTTGGAGAACTTTGGTTTTTGACATCGGTTTTCGGCGTTGGCTGCCAAACCATGGTTCTGGCAAACCATCCCGACATGCATGTCGGAAATCCCAACAACGATGTTGGCCTTCAGAAGCCCTGGACAGTAAGTTTTTGAACAGCGATGTTTTCAAATGACCGTTGGGCTATTTAAGACAAAATCTTTCCATTTTTGAAAGTCAAACACCCCAACAGCGATGTAGACTTCTAGACATCTATGTTTTGATGACCGTTAGCCATTTTTAAAGAAAAGTCAAAGCCAGAACAGCGATGTTCACTATATGAACAGCGCTGTCGGGCTAGATTTCAGTAGATCCACTTTTATTTGATTTCCACAAATCAAGCTAATCAACCCCAATCTTTTCCCAACCGTTGCACCTTGTTTTTGGGTATAAAAAGGGGTCTCTTGGGTCTACTTTTCATATCCATTCCTCACACATTTCATAGCTTTACATTGCATCATTCCATAAACTTTTTACATAGCTTTTTAGAGCCATTTCTTGAGGAATTGAGTGTGTTCTTGATCTAAATTAGTTTACTCATATTCTACTCTTTAAAGAGAGTTTTTGTTCTTGAGTGGTTAAGTGTTGTGAACACTTTAAGGGAGGTTTGTTCCCTTGGTTGTACGAAGGAAGGGCATATTCCTTCGAGTTGAAGTCTTGGAGTGCGGTATCTCCGAGCAAGTGTATTGAGGCTCGTGGGACTCGAGTTCTCAGGTTGTAACGGTTTGTTAAGCACCCGTAAGCTTAACGGAAGTAGTGTAGCTCGAGAGAGTCTCTCGGGAGACTGGACTAGCCACACGTTGTGGTGAACCAGTATAAATCTTGGTGTGCTC